TAATTTCCTATATGTTCTCCCTTACTAGTGAAGTTTATGTTTCATTGAGGCTGTAATAACTGGTTAGGATCTCCAACTCAACTACGTATTATAAGTTTTTCGTTAAATCACGGTAACTGCGCTAATTCTCCGACACATAAAAAACACGCAAATTCGCGGTTTTTTTTTGTATTTTCTTTGTAACGTGAGTGTTTTTGCAGCTAAATTACAGGCTTTTACATCGATTTGCATTTGAAGCTCTTTTCAAATATAACAATAATTTTTCGGCTGAATTACGTTGTAGGAAGTTGCTTTGAAAAGTACCTTGAACAATTTAGCGAGCGAAACACCATTGGCAACCTGAAGGATCTCAAATTTCGAGAAGGTTAGAATGAATTAGAATGAAAATAAAATGGGTTATAATTCACATATTTGAGTTCAGTTCATCAGAGGGATTATTTTGACTCGAAAATGCAAAAATCGTAAGCATTTGTTAAATTTACCAGATAAAAATTGATTCTCAGAATTTTGAAATTCTAAACTGATACTGTGTTAAATTTACATATATGCTGAAATTCAAATTCAAATTTTTTTTCTTATTGGAAATGTATAATTTCAAGAAAAAAGGGGATTAAAGCATGAGGTTAGGGCAAGTGAACGACTCACATTTAACTCTAGGATACTTTAGGTATGAGAGTGACGGGTTTCAAAGGCTTTCATGAACTCGGTTACTTGCATACTCGAGAACTATCCCAAGCATTCAAAATATGCACAACCCTTGCCTACAAGTAGAAATTCGCCCAATTTGGGTCACGTTATAGAAATGGTGCAAAATATGAATATATTTTATTCATTTGTTGGCTTGAATACCGTCTTGTGTTCCAAATCGTTTTTCTATTAAAAATGTATTTATTTGGATGGAAAGATGCTGCAAAGTTGATGGTGCGCGTTATTTCATGCAACGAAATTTTTTCAGAAAAAAAACTGCTTACCTATGCGCTTGAGCTTGTCATTTTTGTCCGGTGAATTCAACAAATGCTTACGATTTTTTTTCCATTTTTGATGTCAAAATAATCCCTATGATGAGCTGCACTCAAATGTGAATTATAACCCATTTCATTTTTATTTTAACCTACTCGAAATTTGAGATCCTTCAGGTTGCCAATGAGGATTAGCGATGTCTTGCTCGCTAAATTGTTCCACGTACTTTTCAAAGCAACTTCCTACAACTTGATTCAGTCGAAAAATTATTGGTATCTTTGGATAGAGCTTTAAAATGCGAATCCATTGATAAAAAAAAACCTGTAACTTAGCTGCAGAAACACTCATGTTACAAAGAAAATACAGAAAAACGCAAATTCGCGTGTTTTTCGTGTTCTGTCGGAGAATTAGCGCAGTTTCTGTAACTTCTTAGAACAATTCAATTCTCATTTATTCTATTCAAATTGAGCTTAAAACCGTCACTCAGAGACTTTCATGAACAGTTCATTTCAGAATTGAGCTGTTGTTAATTGATGATTCTCCTCTTGCAGTTAAAGTATTCATCTCTTTACCTCTAACAGATAAAATTTCTTTGAAACCTTACCACTGTTTTTATAAAGTGACTTTGACGTTGTCGCTTGAACTTGCTCAAAACCTCCAAAAATGTGGCTTTTAATTAGTACCTCTAACAGGCTCGAGTTGTTCGAAGAACGAAAGAACTGCTAAAATCAAGCTCTTACTTTCGTGAATATTAGCTATTC